TGGCAGGGGCAGGGGCAGGGGCGCTGCCTCGGACCTCGGCTGCCGAGCGCCGGGCACGCAGCTGCTGTTATGTAAATAAAAAGGCGGGTGCCCCTGCCAAGTTCGCGGCGACACTTGTCCTCCGGGGCATCGGCACCGTGCTGCCAGGCTTACCCTCCCTTCTCTCCCTTTCCACGTGTGTTACAGGTAGGAAAATGACTCGCCTGGCACAGGAGCAGGAGTTACGAGCCATGTCCCCGTGAGACCTCCAGAACTAGGAGCAAATGCCTGGAGAAGTCCCGCCGCACAGAGCAGCGCCGCAGCTCTTGTGAACCGCGGGCGTCGACACCTCTCGGACTTGCTCCTCTGGCCCCGCGCACTCTGCCAGCATTTCCCACCCCACGAATGGCTACTCAGAGGAAGCACTTGGTGAAAGATTTCAATCCTCATATCACCTGCTACATCTGTAAAGGCTATCTCATCAAGCCAACTACAGTAACCGAGTGCCTCCATACCTGTAAGTAGTACTTGGCAAAATATTCCCTTCTTCGCAAGCGATGCTTCCTCGAAGTGTTACGTGTTTGATGTGACCTCTGTGCCGGTTTTTGTTTACCTCTGAAGTGTCGCACGAAATGCTGTGCGGTTTCTGGTGGCGTTTCCTAGACACTGGCCTGCCACCTGGGTCATCTTGAGGGCACGTCGACTCTGCTTAACACCTTGCAGAGTAAAGATACCCCTTGGCTTTCCCCCAAGCGCCACCAGTGATTGTGCTGGCTCTAGCACCAAACGTGTATCACTGTGGCCTGGCTGATCACAAGTAAGATCGTTAGGTCTGGTGTGGTATTTTGATAATATAACTATGCTTTTGAAAGTTAAGCCAATGTCTCTGTTGGCAGTGCGCATGACGGATACGCCGGTGTGGTCAGTACCGGCTCGCGTCTCTCTGTAATGCGTTCCATGGCACAATGCATAGAAATACTTGAAAGTTGGCAAAATATTTATTTAGGGAGTAGATCCCTTTGAATGAAACTGACTCAGGAAAAATTATTCAGGTTGGCTTATGCTCCTAATACTTCTAAAACATTGGTGTGTATGAATTATATTAAACATATGAATAGTCCTATCAAACTCAGTCGTCTTACTTCCACATGCTTGACTTTTTTTACATTTATTCTTGGATAGAAGATAGTTTGCTTGGACCTTCTTGAGAACTTGGCATCTTTCCAAATAAAATCTGAATTCTTCTAAAAGAAGAGTAAGGGGAACTATATGTTTTCTGGTAGATTTCCTATTTTTAAACCTTTAATAAATATCAGTTAAAAGCCTTGGCTTAGCATGGCCTGTCATTTCTGCACAGTGTTGTTCTTGCAGTTGTTACTGCCTTCGCTGTTATTTTTTGTGTTATGGTGTTACGTTCCTAGTATATCAAGCACATAGAGAATTAAAACATATCATTCCTATATGTTGTTCCTAGTACAAAGATAATATTGTTTACCATTATAGTAATATTATTTTTAGTTTAGTTTTTGAGAATAAATAATGTTGAACTGACTTTTTCCGAGTCTAATACCAGCTAAGGATTATAAAGTGTTTTGTAGTATTATTCTTCTCTTTTGGGTTACTTAGTAAAGGATTTTAAGTTGAGGACTAGAGAAGTTAAGCAAAGTGTCATAAGAACTTGAAATAAAACAGGAGGGAGAGAGGTATATTAGCTATTATTAAATTACCTTTCCTTTAAAGAAAATGGAAAAGTTCCAGCATTAGTTAATTTTTTTATGCTTGAAGTTTGATGAACAGTACTAACTTTTAAAAGGTTGGGGTGAGGGGAAAGAACTTGCATCAGAAATTAACTCAGACTTAGAAAAAAAATTGGTTTTATTACGATACATTTCTGTTTGGATAATTTATTTGTTTATTTACTTTTGTTCCCATTACAAAACAATAATGGCACAAGGAGCATTTTTTTCTCAGCAACATCTGGGGTTTTTTGTTCACTTGTAGATTGTGAGCTCTTCACTGAGACAGCTGTGTTACTGCCTAGGCACCAGATAAGCACATGTGAATTTTACTGAGCTGCCATCTATTTGCACAGGTTTCCTCCCAGAAAAGCTACCACGTTTGGGTCATTAAGTAGAACTGCAGGAAAGAAGGTGGTGTTTCTTTAAAGCAAAGTTTAGTTGCCAAAATATGAAGTTTACAATGATGGAAAGGAAAATGAAAAGCTTCAAGTGGTGATATGGAAGTCTTATGTCTGTAGAGGAAAAGGTGATCTCCATGTTGCAGAATTCAGGAAGATACTCTGATAAGTTATTTTACACTTTGGCTTTTAGAATTTTTTTTTTTTTTTTTTTTGAAGTACAGGTATGGTTCTTCAGTCACATCCAAATAGCTACCACAAAATACAGTGATTTTAGCTGTCCTTTGGTATTTGTCTTGTACTACTAATTGCTGTAATTCATGCACAAATGATCAAAATCTGCAGGTATTAATGGTTTAAAAAGCAGCATACATTCATTAGATACTGGGAGTGCAATGTATTACTCTGGACAAGATGAAAAGCGTGTATTGACCTAGATGTTCTCCAGTGATTGTAGAGGAACTAATGTGATCAGTAGTAACCAAATGAGTTAGCGGTTAATTCACATCTTCTGTGTTGCTGAAAAATGTTGAGTAGTAAAGTTCTGCTCCGACAAATGTGTGGCTTTTTAATAAAGAGATGTTTCTGATGGGTTTTTTGGAAATGTTGGACAGACTAATCCACCATTTACTGGGAAGAATAAGTGCAAGTTGGGCATCAGCAGTACAAACTTTCCTATCTCTGTTGGAAAGGAAATGCTTATATTACTGCAAAATAATTAATTATTCTGCAAATTCAGTACTTTGTTTCTTTTTTGCTACTTGCAACAGAATGGTTTTGTCCTATGGACTGAGACCTTTTTTCCTAGTCTGTTACACAGCTGTCAAGGATGTTTAAGAACTCTCCTTCCCAAATCATGCCGACACACATGGAGATCTGGGATCAGGCTCTTGCTTGTGAAGACCAAGGCAAAATGATAGTGAGGACTTCAAACTTTTCTATATAATCTATTCCTGAATTGTTTCCCTCATTCATTAACAGACCCACATTTTGTCTGAACTTCCTTCAGCTACTAGCATACTTGCAGAATCCCCTTATGTCTCTCATCAGTTTTAGCTGTGGCTGGGCTTTAGCCTTCCTAATTTTGTCCCTAAGTGCCAGAGCAATGGTTTTATATACTTGTGTTTCCCATCCTTGTTTCCACTTCTAATATGCTCTATTTTTGCATATTAATTAGGAAGCTTGTGCACTAAGCAGTTCTTCTGACAAAATTCCCTGTGCGATGGGCTGGTTAGCTCTTGAGGTCTAAATAAATTTTCTTTAAAGAAAACCAGCCAGCTCTCCTAAGTACCTTTCTTTCTAATGATAGCCTCCTTGGGAAATCTGACTAGCAGTTGCTTAAACAAGCTGAAGTCCCATCTCCTGAAGTTCAGAATCCTATCTCTGCTGTTTAACTTTGTATCCTTCCTCGAGATCCTGAACTCCATCATCCTGTGGTCACTGCAGGGCAAGCTGCCATCTGCGGCTGTCTTCATCGCCAGTTTTTTCCCGTTTATGAACAGCAGATCAAGTGGTACATTACTCCTAGCTGGTCTCTCTAGTATTTGCCTTAAGAAATTGTCAGCCAATGCAGTCTAGAAACTTTCAGAAAAGTCCTTCCATGCAGGAAAATGACCAGTGATGTAGTTTTCAATATCAAACCACTGATCTTGCAACCAGAGTGTTTTTCAGATTTTGCTAAAAACTTCCAGTCTCACCAGGACATCCCAAAAGAACTTTACTGCAGCAAAATTTCCCACCTGCAGACAAGCAAGCTGAGCTACTTTCATACTTCTTTTCCTGCAAAAGCTGCAGACAATGGCATGTAGCAGGTCTTAAAGGTTAGCAGATCTGTCTTATTTTGAAATAGAAGATTTCAACCCAGAAAGTCTTTCCTGATCACCATGTACTGAAATTACTGCTACTTTTTAACAGTAGCGAATCCAGTCTGACTGTGTCTGGTAATTGTAATTGACAGTGGAGTAGTCTCACATGTATAGTTTCTGAGAAGGATGGTTAAGTATATTAAAGTTTTCTGTCCTGTTTTTATGCAGACACTTTCCCTAAAAGTAAGTGCTTCTAAGGCAGGTTTAAGATAGCTAATTAAATACTAATTAATAGATACTAATTAAATACTTCATTAAACATACCAAATGACTTGTTACATCTCTGTGAGATGGGTTTGATGTTCCACTAGCTGTGTGTATCCTGTGCCCCTCCTTTGCTCACTGGATCAAAGAGTGATTAACTTTGAGAGAGGAGATCCTTGGAAGACTTCAAAGGATGAGTTCTGACAAAGAATTTGTCCCGCAATTAACTAATTAAACTTTCTCTTGTAAAATATTTTGTTTAAAAAATGCAATATGAAGTTTTATTTAGGTACCTTGTTAATTAGCATTTTAAAAATAAAAGATACGTACTTTTTTTGTTTGCGTAAGATGACATACAGCACAGTCCTGACACTTGTATCTGTATTTTTCAGCTGATTACAGAGATCTGAAAGAATGCATGAACCAGATACCTCTGTATTGGAAAATGTAGCATTGTGTAGTAATTTATGGTTGCCAGACAATTAGCATATGTCACACAAGTACTTTTATCAGCTCTAGTAAATCATCTTATGTGCATTTAACTTCTGTTGTGCCTCATCTGAAGTGTCGTAGTACAACCATGAAATTCAGGTCCTCATTTCACTGTCATGTGTAGCACATACCTCAAAATTCTGCAAACTGTGTACATTTTGTTAGCTGTTTTCTTGTGCCTGTTTGCTGCCACACTGTGACCTACAGTAAAGCAAGTGAAACCACGTCATTTTGTTAATCTGTACCGGAAGCATTAAAGGTTTTTGGTTTGTGGCTTTGTTTGTTTTTTTCGTTATTATTATTTTTTTCCCCATAGGTGGTGAATTAAATATATCTGTAATTTAATTGTGTTTAACGATTCCCTCTTTCCCTACCCTTTTCACCCAATACTTAGCCTGTATCCTGTTCTCTGAAACTTCAAAGTGATAGGCTTTTGTTCAGTGTTTTACATTGAGAATAACAGAGGATGATTATACCTATCATATCTAAAAATACTGGTTGATGATCCTACTCATGCTAGGAGTATCACATATCAGTTCATTATTCTTGAGTGCTAGAATTTATGTGTATTTTATACTTTTACATTATCGGTAAATCACATTTAGTTTTGACAGGCAAATCGTCATAGCATCATAGGTTTACATGAGAAAAAGCAAAAGTTGTTTTAGATTACTACACTATTGATTTACAATTTTAAGGGGTGTTCCATGGTATAAGATGACCTTGTGATTTGAGCTGGCTGCACAAAGACCTGATCCAGATCTGTATGTTTGTTGGAGTAGGGAACACACCCATATAGGAATGGCTTAAGATTCTTGG